GCGTCCGCGGGACCCGCGGCGGGGGCTCCCGCGGGGTCAGAGCTGCTGCTGCAGACCCCTTTGGAGCGGAAGCGCTGCCTCGCCACCTTCTGGGGGAGGAGGGAGGGCAAAGAACAGCCAGAAAGCAAGCCCAGGTTGAGAGATAAAGCGGTACTAAGGGGGAATTCACTTTCCATGCCTTTTTTTCCGGTTTTCCCCCTCTCCCCCACTATGTTACCACATTCTCGCCTTTTATTATTTTTCAGAGTTAGGAACAAGTGCAGTTGCCATCAGTGCTGTGGCACTGGAACCCTAAGGCAGAAACGAACTGCGCTGTAGCTCTCCTAAAGCGTGCTGTAAACGCCGTGTTGCCATCCGCTTCAGCCGGGAATCGCGCTTTTCTGTACTGGTACAGTCAGGGGTTTGGAGCGGGAATTGCTGTTTGTTGTGTTAAAAAGGCCGATTTCCTCCTCTTTCTGTTCTGAAAGCTTGAGAGAGCCTTTTGCGTAAGACTTTGTGGCTGTCGGCACACCAGTGGCTGTACTCATTCATCTAGCTGCTTTCTAAAAGCAAAAAGATTGAATGCAATTTTTAAAAAAAGGCTGAGTTTGCTGTAGAGCGGTCGGTGTTTGGGAACATGCTAAGACTTTTGTATTTGCTTAACGGGTAAATAATAATCTGTGCTTCACCACTGTAATTCTGCTGCCCTGCAGAACACTTTCTGTACTGGCACGGCTGAACTCCAGGGTCTCGTAACGTTTCTGTGACGTCTGTGCAGCTCCCTCTGCCAAAAACCGGACCCGGTTTAGTTTCTCCTCACCGATTCTCCCCTTGGAAATGCGCCCTTGTAATAAAACGAAGTTTGCTTGGTCCCTGTCTATCCTAGGAGGCCAGATAAGCTTCGATGTGTTCCCGGATGGCTGGGATAAGAGGTACTGCTTAGGAATCGTTGCCAACGATGGATACAAGACTATTTATTTCTTCGGAGATAAGACTATGCCAGTGAGTATACTGTTCTGGGTGTGCATTTCAGAGCTCCTGCTTTAAACCACAGGCTCGCCTTAGACCCGACAAGAATTGAAGTCAGAATATAAACGTGAATGCGGGTCCGTGTTGAACTGGCTGTGCAGCCCTGCTCAGTGTCACGCTGGGAGGTAGCCGTGAGCGTAGATTTTTCTTATGTTTGCTGAAGCAAACACAGTGTTCTTGACAGACGTAATACTGGAATATGTTTTTATGTTGAACTTTAATTGTGTTAAAAACCTAGGTGACCTGGCTATGTGATGCTCATTGTCCTGTCTGGTTATTGCAGACAGATGCTTCTTGTTGGCTGCTGATTATTAAGCCTGTTTGTTTTCCAGTGAAGGTAATGCTGTTCCTTTGCTAACCACTCTGTCTGTCTCCGCGTTAAGGAACTGCAGTGATACACAACCCCCGGCCCTAGTCACTGGAGAGAGCTAAACAGCGGTGTTTGGAAATACGGAGCAGAGGCCTGACTAGAGCTAGCGAGGGCAACGGCAAGCACAAGGACTTGGGTGAAATTCAGGCTGGCTGAACGCGGCCAAGGGACAGCGTCAGCCTAAGTTGTACAAGGAGAGGCTTAGTTTTATAAGAACTTACAGTTTCATAATTATAAGTTACAAAGGACTCTCTCCATGGTTTTATAAACTTAAAAAGGCCAAGTTTTGTAAGAAAATGACAAGCTTTAAATGAAAGGGGTTTTTGTCCCCCCTTGACACATAGTCACCTGTCCCTCTGGCTAACAGTGATTTCATTGAAAGGACGGAAAGCCCAGCTGGATGAAGTTACAAACCCCGAGTGCTGGTGCAGTGTTCTGTCACAGGCCTCGCTCCTCCACAGTAACACGGAAACCGTTTTTAAAAGTCAGTACGGGGCTGCTGTACCGAACTGACACCGCGGCTGAACTTAACCTGCGAGTTCTCCTCCTCCGTTGCCAATTCTAGCATGCAGTCAGCAAGCGCTCCCACACACGTGCCTGGTGGTCAGCAGGAGCTCCAGCACGCGTGTGCTATGAACACTGTCTGCAAAATCTCCAAGGGTGGGTTGTTTGCAGGTTTTCAGCTTTCTGGAAGACCTCCCAGACAGGACTGTCTCATTTCCCTTCTCTTCAGAATTTCCTTCCCGTGTCCCCTTTCCACCCTGAGACCGCGACTGTACATTAAGCTAAATGATATTAAATCCTCTTCTGCTGTTCTCCCCTTCTGTTTGCAGGGAGGGAACGACTACGAAATCTTTACGGACTCCAGAACGCAAGGCCACAGCGTCACATCCCCACAAGATACCAGAAGAATCTGCGAGGAGCTATTTTTTAAGTAAAAGACTTAGAATTCACATCAACAGAACGGTTAAGACGGCTTAATAACTCAAAACATCTTCATTCCGTATTTGTTTTTGTAATTGGTCAGTCAGTACAGACGGGAAGCGGCTATTTAAAAGATGAACAGTTTAGATTTTTTTTTAACCACTCCTTTGTGCTGTAAAGACATGAATTAGAAGGCAGTTGGGATTTTCTCGTTTAAAAGTGGAAGAGAGACAGGTTTTCTTTGTTTCTGGGTAGAACTGAGCCAGAAGTCCCTGACCTGACGCGCGTTCCTGTGCATGGTCAGCGGTGCACCTGGTCAGCCACCACCGGACAGGCTGGACCAGTCAGTGCTGATGTTGCCTCCTCGGCGCGTGGTGCACTGGCACCATGACTCTGGTTCCTGGGACCTACACTTTTTGCAGACTTTTTAAATCTTTAAAAATATATATATATAAAAATTAATTAAAGCAAAATTACATTTCTGATTTTCCTGATAAGACATGAAGGGTAGATGAGATTTTAGTACTGAGAAAAACCTTTCTGTTAAATTGAAGTCGAAGCATGACAATCAGTGTAACCATTAAGTCTACTTTTCTCATCTGGCATTAGGAAAGTAATCTTGTGTACTAACAGCTAATCCAGTAAAGGAGAACAAAATCTCATTTTATCATGAAGAATCACTATTGCAATTTGTCATTTTAGCAAATAAAAATCTGTAAAGCAGACCTGTTGTACGTTGCCTGTCTACGAAGAGAGACTGCCTTGCACCCTTCTGCCTCCACGAGGCTGATGCAGAAGGTGCGCAGCCAGCCGCAGCAC